CGATATTGTTCAAATATGCAATTTTATGCGATATTCATTAAATATGTAAAAATTACAGCTTCCTAGATACATGATTCGGATAGGTATTTATTTAGAAATCGTGAGATGCGGTCTGGTGTGATGTAGGTTTCAGAAAAATATTTTCTTTATCGTACCAACGTTTCGATCTTTATTGAGATCATCATCAGGGCAAAAGTGTTTGTCTTCTGTGTAATTGTGCCATTCTTGGGTGTCGTGTTTGGAGTGCCCGAAACGTTGGTACAATAAGGAAAGTGTTTTTCTGAAACCTACATCACACAAGACCGCATCTCACGATTTCTAAATAAATATAGATTAACGGTCACTCAAAATATGCAACTGCATAACGATCCGGTCTCTAGCTAGTCATGACGTACTGCATAGACCTTTTTTATCTCCAAGCAGTTTTGTTTTTCTACTGTGGTAACCAACTCCCAAAAACATTTTACATGATTTTTCGTCAAAACCTTTCAGAATTCCTTGTCATCAGAAGCCCTCTAGGTCTATAATAGATCAGGTTTATGTTTGAAGACCTTACTTGCTCATAGCTAATAGGATCAGGAAAAATAAAGAATTAACATGGGATGAATTATTCAATAAAGCTGGTGGATTTGTGTACGAATTCAAAAAAGGACGAGGGATTGTTTGATTTCTTTCCCAACAATCAAACCCACCAAAACTTGCTACATACATTTTATCTAATCTCTAAACTGTTTTGTTGCTGCACCTTGTAAAAATTTGGAAAAAATCCAGTAACATTTTTCATGACTAAACATCAAGCCTATAAAGCACGTACCTTTAGCAAATTATCTCCAAGCAATTTTGCAGGGTCAGTTATTATAACATATTCAGCAAGAGGTTGTGTACGGATTCAAATATTATTGGTATCTTGCAATACCTTGCTTACAGTCCTGAGCAACAATTTACTTGGCACATAACATAGTACAATGACATGTCTAATCCCCAAGGGGTCTGTCCAAACCGGAGAACCATTTTAAACGATTATACAAGTTAAACCATATATTTTGAAAAATTAATATCCGTAGTACTTTTTTTTAGCTTGAGCAGTTCAGAGTGGTTGTATACGTTTATTTACATCAAATAAACCAGGAGAAAACAAAGAAATAAAACACAAATTCACCTGGTGGGTTTGAGCAACGATTGTGTATGTTGGTGTTGTGCCACAACCTGCTTATAACCTTGACCAACGACTAGCTTTATCAAAACTTTGTCCATACGATTCATCTCTAAGCTGTTTTGTTGTTGTACCTTGTAAAAATTTGAAAAAAAAAACAATCCAGTAACATCTTTCAAGATTGTTCAGTAAAGCCTATAAAGCAAGTACTTTTTGCAAATTATCGGGATCAGTTTTATGTCTAATACACTGAGATTACATTAAGAAATCACATTGAATCATATTCAGCTACTCGGTTTATGTTAAGGGGGGTTAAGAGGGAAGAAGAAGAAGAAGAAGAAAAATAACTTTATTCTGGGACTGGTGTCCCCTTAGAATAATTTACATGAGACAAAATATAATAACCTTCTATGAAGTCACATAATTTAAAAAAAAAAAGGAAAAAAAAAGATAGATAGAAATCGTGGCACAATGTATGCCAGTAAGGCGGGCCAGAAGAGAAAATTACGAGGTATATTAAACAAAGACAAAAATAATAAATGTTATCGTGAGGTCTCTGCTTGGAGGGAGAGGAGGTGATTATAAAGATGGGATTTAAATGAGGAGAAGGAGGCAGCGTGACGAATAGATAGGGGAAGGGAGTTCCAGAGTTTAGGGGCTCGGATCAGAAAGGATCTTTCGAAGGTATGGGTTGTATGTTGCGGAAGGATAAGGTCGATTGGGGATGAGCGGGTTTTACGGGTGTGATGTGAGGAGTTGAATTGGAGGGATTGGATGATATAAGGAGGACGACGAGTGTGGATGGACTGGAAAAGAAAGCAACCTAGGAAATACTGGGCACGGAAGGAGGGGAATAGCCAGGAAAGTTGGAAATACAACCCCGACACCCGGGATCCCCGAGGGGTGCCGTGCACAAATCTTACGCAACAATTGAAAATACGCGCGTTCTCCCTCTCCGAGAGACCACCGTATGCCACATAGCTGTAATCGAAGAAGGGAAGTATAAGGGAAGATACAAGGAGTTTGCGGGTGGAGAAAGGTAAGAGAAGCCAGGACCGACGGAACAGGCAGAGGGAGGCGATGGAATGGCGAGAAATTTGGGAAATGTGAGAATGCCAGGAAAGGTTTTGATCAAAGACTACTCCTAGGTTTTTAACCGAGGAGCAGAAGGGAGGGATAAGAGAAGTACGTTGCTGTTTGGTTTCTTGCCACATCCAGGTTAGATCCCTGGCACCATTTAGCCAGAATATTCAGCCAAGACTATAAAATTTAGAAATTCAGTATCCCCAGTACCACTGAGCTGGAATAGGACAGGGTAGTTATTTGATGTATCGAAATGCTGAGAATACACGAAAAATAATATAAACGCAGGACACTTATACAATGAACCTGTTCCTCAATCCGAAAAGCTAACTATTTAGAGCTTACAATTGATAAAAGACTAACCTGGAATCGACATACACGATTAGAAAACAGACACTCAACAAACGATTTAAAATGCTTTATTACATATTCATCCGACAATCAAAATTAGCATTAAAATTAATTGTTAGGGGTTGAGATGGGAAGTCAGTGTCCAAGTGGATCGAAGTCCCGATAGCTCAAGTGGTAGAGTAGCGGCGTGCCGAAGGTCGTGGGTTCGAATCCCGCTCATGACATTGACTTTTTTTATCTCAACTAAAAACTTTAATTAAATGAAAGATATTAATTGGTCAAGCGGACTACGAAAAGTAGTGAATCGATTAACATTAAAACTTTCGGCATACACATACTTACTACTGAAACCTATTTGGATGTACAGGTGCCAAGGTTATGGATCGGCCTAATATTCCAATATTTAAAGAGTACGAAGTTTTCAATCCGAAATTTTAAAACTAATCGTTTCTGCCCCTTTTTTACGTAATCAATAACACTTCACAAAGATCTTCACATGCCAACAGTTTTTTCATCCATCAAAACATATTACAGACGTTTTCATAGTAAATTACAAATCACACTAACATAACCATGTGATTTAATCCATTTTCCACAATTACCAGGTAAACGTCTGAAAAAAACATGGATAAGAGACCTCTTAAATGATTAATATCATTTTATTAATCCAGAACGGCTGGCAATGCATAGCTTTCTCTGTAACGCCCATAATGCCATAAACATAAATTGAAATCCAATATGCTGGTTGTATATAATATAGGTAAAGTTTAGGTACAAATAAATGAAATACAAGAAAATGAAGAAGGTATTTGAACACAGTTGCATGATATCTAAAGTCCTTAGCTAATTCACAAGCTTTATTGTTTTTATGGGCTACAAAGGCTCAAAATATTGTGAAATTATGTCATGAAAATAAAGGTGGAAATTAGTGATTATAAAATAATTTAAATATTATAAAATACAGTGTCACGTGCGGGATTCGAACCCACGACGTTCGGCTAAATACGCCGCGTATTTAGCCGAACGTCGTGGGTTCGAATCCCGCTCGTGACATTGACATTTGTATCTGAACCTTCTGAATGAAGACCTTACATGGAAAGAATAATTAATTGAAAGAAGTAACATGGTCAATTAACCACTAAAACGTAGATGGATTATAAAATATATAAGATAAAATACATGGAAATAAAAAACTGTTAAGCGTTTCCTATTATTTTTATTTCGTTACTCATGAATTATTACCGTTGAATTATCGGGTTGTTATAATTCAATTTATTCTCTCCTCAAGTTTATCGTAAACTTAGATAAGCTTAACAGATTTCCGGCCAAAGGTAATCCACCCAAAGTCAGGGCCAACTCCCACACAAAAGAGTAAAGTTTTCAAACTTGTTCGCCAGTGGGTGCACTTCAGCGTGAAATGAGAGGGTTTTTTTTACGTTTTTCTTCTTTTTTTCGTCTCTGGAAGAAAAGAAAGGGGGGAATTTTTCTTGAATTCACTTTAGGATTTAGCCGGCAGGCAGGACGTTTCTAATTGGCCGGTCTTTTGCCAGTTACCAGGGGAAAACAGGAGTCTTTTTCTCGCAATAATTAACGACTAGGCGGAACTGCAGGCTCATTAGTGTCCGAGTTGGTATTCGGTCAAAGTTAAAATAAAAATTTCCCTCTTTTCCTAACCTGTTAATTAAAAACGAAAGCACATCGGTCGTACAGCTTTAGAGAGAGGGGGGTAAATAAATATAAAGAAAAGTAAAAGAAAAGTGGGTACAAAGAAGAACCAATCCTATCGATCCGACCTGCCCTTTCAATTTTCCCCAAATGACAGAATGGGATTTTTCCCGGAATTTCTTCTTTATTCGATTCTAGCCATCCTCCTACGAGGGGTTCTATGATTGGAAGTATCATTATTTACCAATTTCAAAGGATCAATTCCAATATTTTCATCAATCTTCAGAAATAGAAACAATTTCAATTATATACATAAAAGTTCAAAAATTCAGGATGAACCACATTTAAACTCTCGCAAAAAACTTCATTCAACTTTGTTTACAAGTGAAATATTGTTAGTAAAAATTAAATTTTTAAATAAAATCATAATAATTTCACCCACTTTTTACTACCTTATCCTGAAATCTTATTTACCTGACCGCCCTTTCTGAGAAAAGTGCGGCCACAATTATTATTAGGCTCAAATAAATCTGCGACCACAAGGGAACATTTTTGGTCCCATCTTATATACATTTATACTGATGATATACAAACACTTCTCCAAAACTCAATTATGTATGGTGTATGTGTAAGGTGTAATGTGGTACAATTTTCTCTGAAAAGGCTAAATTCTTTCTAGATGACATCCGAGAAAACTTAAGTATCAAAGAATGGTATATAAAGAAGAAGATTAGACCGGTTGAGAAAAAATGAATACAGTGAAAATTACCTTGAAAAATAGTCTTCAGCTTTACATCAATAACTAGGAACAGCCGAATTTCACTCAAGTCAGGTACTTATCTACCTAGACAGTAGACTGAAGTGGAATCTGGATCTGAAAAGTAAAGAGATGTAAAATAAGATTTGGGCAGCTTGGAATACGTTTAGGACTAAATTTATTTTGACACACAAAACTCAACTAAACTATTCAAGAAACTTGCGAACGTATGGAGTGGAACTGTAGCATTCCGCTAAGCCATCCAGCCAATCTTTCCAATCAAACGTCCTCAGAAGAATTTTTAAGACTTTACGACGTCATTGACTTCACGACAACGACATGTCTTTTGTCAATGAACTAAGATCCCGCTTCCAAAAGTTCCACAAACTTTCGATCTATTCCTAGTAACCAAGCCTATTACACTTTTCCAACCGTAAAACCTGCCACGTCGACAAGGCGATAAAATCGAGACCTCCTAGTCACTTAAAGCCTCATATAGAGTGACTTATTGGGTGATTTCTCGTCCTTCGGATGCAGCGCGGGTCATAAGATCGGGAGGAAAAAACATGTACGCACATATTTGCAATATGTAAATATTTTCATATCTACAACATATCCAAAGGTCTTCGTCAAACTACCGATTATAACTCACGTCGAGAGACCTATTTCTAACTCCTTCAACGTGATGAGCGTTTAACGCTTAAAATCCTGATCGATGAAAACTACAAACTGTGTGTAAGAATTAACTTTTAAAGAGATTAACCAATATACTCACCCCAACTTTATTACTTCCAACAAATTATTTTTAATGTAGATGTTCAATATAAACAATAATCTTTCAATTAATTTTTTAGTTGAGATAAAAAAGTCAGTGGCACGAGCGGGATTCGAACCCACGATCTTCGGCTAGATACGCCGCTGGTCTACCACCTGAGCTATCGTGACTTCGATCCACTCGGACACTAACTTCCCACCTCAACCTCTCCTTTTGAATTTTCCCTCCTTTTTGCCATTTTTCAAATGTCGTGTAATCTATTCGATTCTCGGAGACATATGAAATGGCCACGGGGAGCTTTAGTGAAGGTATACTTCATTTTAACTTATTAAATTCACTACTTTTCCTTAGTGGACTTAGTGGTCCGCTTGACCAATTAATATCTTTCAATAAATTAAGGTTTTTAGTTGACATAAAAGATAGGAAGTTAGTGTCCGTGTGGATCGAGGTCACGATAGCTCAAGTGGTAGAGCAACTGGGTATCTAGCCGAAGATCGTGGGTTCGAATCCCGCTCGTGACACTGACTTTTTCATTTCAACCAAGTCCTTACGTAAAAAGATAAATTAATTGAAAGAAGTAATTTGGTCAATCAGACCACTAAATATAATAGATTTAATAAACAATAATGGAAAGAAAGTTTATTGAAATATAATATTTTAACCTTGGAAATTTTCATCAATCTGGAGAATTAAAATTAATATAACGTCTTAACAGTTTCATTGTTGGTTAGATTATTTTATAATGTGAGCTATTAATGAAGTATCACTTTGTTTTTACACTCTGCCAACATTAAAGAAGTGTCTATCTATATGCCAAAAAAACTAAACAAATTTAAAATTTTCGAATAAAATATTGCCGCAAATACAGATATTTTGTCTTTCCGAAAATCGAATCATTGCAGTGCATTCTCGTGAAAAGTAATCTCTCGAAAGCTACAAAATGTGTTGTATTCAGCCTAATAAATAGTAATACATAAAATAAAATATTACTACAAATACTGTTTTTATTTTTGCTAAGCCTTAAATTTGTAATAAGCTCATATTGGCCAGACACGAAAGCAATTAAAAAAATATATGAAATGTTCATAGAGTAAAAACTACAAATGAAAACAATTATACGCCCTTCATAATCCCAAATCTCATTCGCTGATCGTATTGATAAACGCATTTAAACAACTCCAGTTTTATTACTTCTGCTTATAGAACAATAATTAATTTTTTTTATAGTATTAAGCATCTTTTATATAATTATTTGCACCAAGAAACATTCCAATATTATATATTTAAATAAAATAACCAAACACTTAACATTTACAGACTTAAATGGGCCATGTGTTGCTTTATTTTATGTTTCTCTTTTCGCATTGTACTAAGTACGCTAAGTAAGCTTAGAGCTCAGCCCCCGCTCAATCCAGCAGGTTAATGGAATTACGGAGAAACTGTAAATCCATTTGTCAATATTTTACCACGGTCTTGTCGGGAAATTGAATTGAACCGGTGAAAGAGCGAGCGGCCTGTTGAAAATCACCGCCTTCCCGAGAGCCGCGAGATGAAATTGTAATAAATCAAAACGCGTTTCTCCCTGTTCAAACATATTTTGAACGTCTTCGCAGCATTGTGAAAACAGACGCCGGGATTGTAAATGATCCAATCGCAATTTGTCATGTTTCCAGCCGTGCGTGTTTTCACTTAAGTCAACACAATTGGGCAAGCTCATTATTGTTGGATAAAACAATTTTCCCGATTTGATCGCGTGATACTGTTTTGATTTTGCCAAGCGAAGCACGTAATAAGTACCATTTAATTATGTATATTGGGTAATACGATTGAAGTTAAATGATATTAATTCTACTTATTAGTAAATTGGCCATATCCTTTTCTATTAATTCACATAGTGATTTTTTTGAAAAAGTGTAAAATTTTGATGTTATAGAAAACCCTCTATGAACAAACAGCCAACACTCCCGAAAAACTGCGTCAAAATATCACATGCGAAACCTCCAAATTCTAACGAAACATAGTAACAAAATCTTGGGAGCAAGAGCACGAAAGAATTATGGTTAATGAACAAGAAGACAAATTGGCGAAAGGAGAATTGGCAAGATGAACTAGAGATCCAGAACTTATAATTGAGATAGCAACATAGAACATAAACGCATCCGACTCAGGCACGGTCCACACATAAAAATGGACAAACCATGAAGGACGTAATAAACGGTTGACGAACCATAGCCAAACCTGACATAATTGCTACAGTTAAGCTTTCAAGATTGTTTAGTAAAGCCTATAAAGCAAGTAATTTTTGCAAATTATCGGGATCAGTTTTATGTCTAATACACTGAGATTACATTAAGAAATCACATTGAATCATATTCAGCTACTCGGTTTATGTGAGGGTTAAGAGAAGTACGTTGGTGTTTGGTTTCTTGCCACATCCACGTTAGATCCCTGGCACCATTTATCCAGAATATTCAGCCAAGACTATAAAATTCAGTATCCCCAGTACCACTGAGCTGGAATAGGACAGGGTAGTTATTTGATGTGTCGAAATGCTGAGAATACATGAAAAATAATATAAACGCAGGACACTTATACAATGAATCTGTTCCTCAATCCGAAAAGCTAACTATTCAGAGCTTACAATTGATAAAAGACTAACTTCATCCGACAATAAAAATTAGCATTAAAATTAATTGCTAGGGGTTGAGATGGGAAGTTAGTGTCCGACTGGATCGAAGTCACGATAGCTCAAGTGGTAGAGTAGCGGCGTATCTAGCCGAATGTCGTGGGTTCGAATCCCGCTCATGACATTGACTTTTTTATCTCAACTAGAAACCTTAATTAAATGAAAGATATTAATTGATCAAGCGGACCACGAAAACTAGTGAATCGATTAAAATTAAAGCTTTGGACATACACATACTTACTACTGAAACCATAGCCAAACCAGACATAATTGCTACAGTTAAGCATGTTAAAACTAGTTGGCTACTACAGATTAATTTTTTTCCCTCTAAATATTGCAAAATACACCAACAATGGGACTCTTATTATTTCTTCTAAGTTTTTAATAGTCCATTATATTTCGTGGTCGATTGACCAAATTTCTTCTTTCAATTAATTCATCTTTTTCTGTAAGTTTTTAGTTGAAATGAAAAAGCTAGTGCCACGAGTGGGATTCCCAAAACCTTGCATAAAAAGATTAATCAATTGAATGAAGTAATTTGGTCAAAAGACCACGAAATATAATGGATTGAATAAGTAAATCAAAGTATAACTTCACTAACAGCCCCCCCCATGGCTACTTCATATGTCGCCGAGAATCGAATCTGATTACATTTGAAAAATGGCAAAAAGGAGGGGGAAAATAGATTGAGATGGGGAGTTGGTGTCTGAGTGGATCGAAGTCACGATAGCTCAATTCGTTAAGTAGCGGCGTATTTAGCCGAAGGTAGTGGGTTCGAATCCCCCTCGTGACACTAAATTTTTCATTTCAACCAAAACCTTAAATAAAAATATTAATTAATTGAAATTTTTAACAATGTTTAATACGGTGGATTCTGCAATATTTAGAGAAAAAACTCAATCTCTATTAGCCAAAATAAAGTTCATCAGAAATTTTATATATAAACATATANTTTTAACTTTTTCAACAGTTGTATTTTGCTTTGAAAGCTTTCGGACCAATACTCGATCTCACATTAATCTTCGGTCCTATGCCAGAGATCTGGAAAAGATTCATGGAAATGGTTTCTCTCTGCCTGGAAATAGTGTCCCCTTTTGCTTCCCCCAAAGAGCAGTTGTTGAGCCGCTAAACCTTTTTGTCTAGTGGTCCGGATTTGGTAGATTGGGTGAAAGCGACCAAGCCTAACTTCAAAAAATGCCTGAATCTTCTTAAAGGCATTTAAAAACATCTACTTCATTGCTAAGTTAGTACTGATTATGAAAGAGGAATATTGATTTTTTTTAGGAATTAAATTCCTTAAATCCAACGATTATGCAAACAAAATTTTGTTTTTGGTTATTTGTAAATTAGTACACCTGGAAATAAGAATGTGGGTAAGATATGGCCAAAGTAGGTGATTTTAATCTAAAAACTGTTAATCAATGAATTTAAGAAATGAAATAAAAAATAAATAATATGTAAATTTTAGTATGTAGTCCTCTTCCATTTGTGAGCAGTTAAAGTGTAATTAACTATCGTGGTATTCTGTTCAAGTTTGTGATTGAATCGCATTTCTTAACACATTAAATTTAAATCATGGGACAATTTTTTTCCATCTTTGAGCTGTGGAAAATCCAGAGAAGAATAGTTTTTCTGTTAACGCGTGTTTGTACTAAA